AAAATAGAGATAAGCAAAGGTGAGCTTTGGAAAAGACTGATCATGCTTGAAAATAGCCCTTAGATAAAACAGAAGAGTCACTTGAGAGGAAAAATGAAATATGAATGCTTGGCAGCATAGAGGATTGACCCATTAAAGGTTTGTGACCATGAATTTATAGTAATATAAACTTGCACTATTTTGGGATTTTCTCCTATAGTTCCAGGATTCTTCATGTCAGGGAGAGAAAAAGTGGGTATGAGAATTTATCATTTGTTGGGTTTTTTTAGGTTTGCATTTCATTCGCAATGGAAGATAGATGAGTTTATGAGATTAGCGTAATGACAATAGTATTACTGATGTGATAGAATGTGAAATCTAAGCTGGAGAACAAGGACAATGAAGAAATTCAAGAGCTTATCCATAGGTAGAAAGTAGAAACGTCACTGGGCTGAACATCACAAGAGTGGGGCGAGACTGATGCTCACTTTGAGCACGCGTGAATTGAGCCAGGAGGGTTAGATACAATGTTCCAGAAGGACAAAGCTGAGTCAGTGCTTGTAGTGACAGCATAGTTTCAAGAGTACCTGGTGTCACTGTGGGAATGGTAGATAAACTGGGATGGAAAAACAAAAACGCTCAATATTTTCTGGATATGCTTAACTTGACATAAAAAGACTGGGTGCTTCCATAATATTTTTTATTTCTATAGTTTCTGAAATAAGATCACACAGAATGAACTGAAAACATAATTTTGTCTTCTACTTTTAACTTTAAAAATTTTATTAGTACATGTTTGGAATACATTATGAATACAGTCCTGTGGGGAGTCGGTGCACGTACACAACACATCTGAATTATTTTTACTTCCCCCTGCCTTGACCTCTTGGTCCCCTTCACATTTACAAATGACTTATCTTTCTGTTTCCTAGTATCTATTGTTAAATTTTGGTTATTAAGTTATTTATTTTTAGGATTTGTCAAATAAAATAAACAATATGTTAGTGAAGTTTTTGCATCTGATTTATTTCACTTAACTTTATAATCTCAAGGTGTATTTACTTTCATACAAATGATCAAATTTCTCCTTCCTTATGGCAGAGTAGTACTTGGTCGTGTATAAATACCACATTTACGTTATATGTCATTTGTTGATGGACATATAGTTTAGTTGTTATAGGACATTTTAAATATTAGTAGATAATATTGGCCTTCACATCCAAGCCTTACATTCTGAGATGTAAGCCAACAGTTCTGAGGTGGAATAGAACACCTCAACCACAGAAAGTACTTTGGAGGAGTGTTAAATATCTTTCTGGTTGTCACAACAATTAGGCAGAGCTATAGGCATCCACTGAAGAGTGGCCTGACAACCTGGATGCACTATATTACCATCGCATAGAAGAAAAATAATGACATTTTCTGCACTAGATTCTAGTGTTCCACTGACACTATGGTATGTTTAAAACTGTAAACAATAACAATTTGTATTTGGAAATACGTTCAATTTTCCATAATATTTGATGCACATTTTAATTATATTAATGTGCAAATTCTATTAATTTTTAAAATATATCCTTTATGATACAGTTCTGACTATAAATTATATCATACATCTACTTATATGAGTATGTAGATTGATATTGTTCTCTTTTCAAGATGCCAAAATAAGTATTCCAAAGTATCTGTTAGGAAAAGCAGCATGGAGACACTGCTCAGCAAGGAGGCAGCAGCCAACCCTGCCCCCTCATACACTCCAGCAGTTCCTGGAAGACACTGACCACAGGTAAGCAGCATGCACTGGGTAAAACAAGAGCTGATCCTGTACCAGTGCACCCAGTGGCCACCATTGGATACCTGTAGCCAGCACTGGCCAGGAGAACCCAAGTGAACCAAACAGTCAACTGTAGCCAACACAGAAAGTGCCTGGGGACCCACTACCCACATGTTTGGAAGAATCCAAGAAAATGTCAGGATGAAGAAGCAAAAGGGATCTCTGGTGTCTAACCCAAGAAGAGCAACTCCAGGAGATGAAAACACGGCAGAGATAGGGAGTCACACATCTGAAGTTTCTGAAATGCTGGCAAGTGAAGTAGAGTGACAGATTCATAAGGCTATAAAAGAAATTAGAACAGAAATACTATCTCAGGTAAAAGAAGAAATGAAAAATGTAATAAAAGAATTGCTAAGTGCCTCTAAAGAAGGCATAGATTTAAAAAAAGAGAGCATAGGAAAATGAGGAAAACCATTAATAAACAATATAAGACAGATTGAGAATTCATGAAACAGATTCGAGGTATCCAGGAAATGATGTACTCCTTTGAAAACTAGCAAAACTACTCAAAAGAAACTGAAGGTAGACTTTCAGACATTGAAGACAGGTATGCAGCTTGTGACTGTGAAAGAGAGATCTCTTAAACATAAGAAGGAACCAGGAAATAACAATTCAAAGGCTACAAGACAATGCAAAGTAATATAATTTAAGAATAATAGGGATCAGTGAAAAAGCAGGGTCAACACAAATGATATTAAAATTCCACTTACAGAAGACATAGCAGAAAACTTCCTGAACACGGGAAAAGAAGGTGATATACCACTCCAGTAGCCATAACCAAAATAAATCTACACCCAGACATATAAAAATCAAGATTCCAGAAATTCAACACAAGAACAGAATATTAAAAGCTGTTAGAGGAAAGAAACAGATCACTTATAAAGGAAAACCCATCAGAATCACAACAGACTTCTCAACACAAACCATCAAGTCAAAAAGAACTTGAAGTAAGGTACTTCACGTCCTGAAAGAAGACAACTTCCAACCCAGATTGATGTACTATGCAAAACTATCTTTCAGAATTAATGGATAAATAATGATATTTCCATGACAAAGAACAACTTAAGTAACTCATGACCACCAAACTAACCCTACAAAGAATATTGAAGAACATTCTAGAGAAAGGTAAAAAAGACCATGGTTTTAGGAACAGCAGCAGAGGGAGATCACAGAGCAGGGCAGGCAGTGGAGTGGAGGGGAATATTAGGCAATCAACAGCAGGAAAACAGAATGGCAGAGAAAAGGCAGAGCATGTTAACCATAACCATTAATGTAGATGGGTTGAATTCACCAATAAAAAAAACATAGGCGGAGTGGATCAGAAGACATGATTCATCAATTCACTTTTTTCAAGAAACACTTTTAACTCAAAAGGAAATCCATAGACTAAAATGCAAATTAGAGAAAACAATGCTCTACATGGCAGGGGATGAGAAAAAAAAAAAAGTAAGGGTAGCTTTCCTATCAACTGCAGAGTGGATAAGAAAGACAAGGCATTTTTATGCCATAGAAAGCCACTCAGGTATAAAGACAGATAACTTTGAGGCTCTTGTAGGAAAATGGATGCAATTTGAGATCATGCTCATGGGTGAAATTGTTCAGAGTCACATGGATGAACATCATGCTGTCTCCCTAGTATAAAAAAAAACTAAAGGAGTTAGTGGAACCCAAAATTCACAATAGATGTTGTGAAGGTGAAAGGGGAGGAGATGTCTAGAGGGGGAAGGTAGTGGCCATTGTTAATCTATATCCTGTTTTGAAACCCTGTATTGTTTTCATTGTTCTGTTAAGTTTATCTTTATTGCTTTTTTTGTTTGATATTTTCATATTTGATAGCATGGACAGTTATTTTAAAAATAACAAAATATATCATAGTAACCATTATTGATTTCCTATTATCTTGTTTGGAAGTTCTATATTGCTTTACTGTTTTCTCTTGATTGATTTTATTCTATTTTGCTTTGTTTGATTTTACTGTCTGATGGTATAAGCAGCTACGTTTTAAGGTAACAAGATACATTATGGTACCCACTGTTGTATTCCTCTTGTCTTGTTATGTAGTCCTATATCACTTTCATTGCTTTGTTTTGATTGGTTTTATTCCGTGCTGTTTTGTTTGATTTTAATTGTGCCTGATGGTATAGGAAGTTATTTTGAAGATAGCAGAGGCATCGTGATAGCTATTGTTGGTTTCCTTTTGTCTTGTTTTTAAGTCTTGCATCACATTCATTGTTTTGTTTTTATTGCCTCTATTCTGTTTTATTTCTTTCAGTTTTGTTCTCTTCAAGACGTTACCCGCAGCTTCTAACCCAGATTGATCTACCCCCCCCAACTTCTATGCTCCTAGAGGAGTTTCCATGCTTTGGTTGTAGAACTCTCAAGTAATACAGCTGGATTTGAAGAGAGGAAATGAGTATGTGGACAAAAAGTGAGCAATGCTGTAACTGGGGACACTCAGCGGATTTCTCTAGGGATCACAAATGGTTGTGGGTTTGTGGTTTGCTAGCAAATTCTTCAAGTGGGAGTTATTTGTTCTCTGCTTGCACGTCAGGTCTCCAAAGGGACAATGGATACATGGTACAGATGGGCACTGAAAGCTGCAGCTTGCTAGCGCTGTTAAATTTTTGTGCTTAAAGTGGACATAAAGGGAAGAGCCACTAATGTTTGAGCCACTCGCTCAAGCACTCATGAGATAGGCTGATCCTGAGAAGGACCACAGTGGACGGAAGAATAGAGACTCATCATTACATTTGATGCATTAAGTAGCTTCTCTGCCTCCTGTATAATCCCGAGGTGATAGAGAGACTCTCAAAACACTGTTGAGATTGAATTTCTTATCAATCAGAACAGATAGCTATGAAAAGAAATATTTTAATGATAAAAAAAACAAAGTCACTAGCCCTGAAATGTACTTTTGAAAATTTAAACTAATTAACTTGAGCTTGATAATATTAGTTCAGACACAGTTTCATAAGAGGAACACTGAGAGACCTTTATTAAGACACTGTTATTTGCATTAGATCTATAACTGAACTCCCAAAGCAATAATGACTTCTTGTTGGCTTGTAAAACTTTCTAATGCTTTTAGAGTGAATATCTTCCCTTTAAATCTTCTCATTTACTAGCTTTTCTCTGAAATCTCCAGAACAGCTCCCTGTGAAGTTTGGTTTTTTTTTTTTTTTCTTTCACCTAAGCTTTAATGAGTGTCTTGCTCCATGAAGTGCGGCTGTGAACAGAAGCCTGTTTCGGCGTCAGAACCTGTCACAGTAACCCTTCCATCTCCTTCATGAAAGCTTCATAAACATCATCTTTAGTTTGTACTGAGACAGGAACAGAAGGACCAGATTTGGGGGCTGCTTTGGCAAGAGGCACAGCAGAATCATCCTCTGGCTTTCTTTGGGGAGCAGCAGTGGCCCCTTTATTCTCCCGCCGTACCCTCAACGCAGTGGGCACAAATCGAGTAATCTCTGCCTTGGGATTAGTGATCTGTGGCTTGGCACTGATGGTTGCTGTGGCTTTCTTCTCAATAGTAGCTGCACTCGTGTCATCTGCCTTGGGTCGCTGAATCAAGTTGGGTGGGGCACTCAACACCCCTGGGTTGGGCAAGGGAGCTGGTGGGAAAAGCCCAGGTGGGGCAGGTCCAAGAGGAGGCACCAGAGGTGGGCGCATCATGCCAGGACGGGGCGGAGGGATGCCTGGAGGTGCTGGGGGAGGTAGCCTGGGTGGGGGTCCCCGAGGAGGAGGGCCAGGAGGCAGCCCTGGAGGTGGCCCAGGGGGAGGCCCAGGGGGTCGGCCTGGTGGAGGTCCTGGAGGCAAAAGGCGTGGCAAAGGCCCTCGGAGTCCTGGCATCCCAGGTGGTCTCAGGAACGGAGGAGCCCCTGGAGGTGGTCCGGGAGGAAGACCTGTAGGCGGTCCAGGAGGCCGTAAAGGTGGGGCAGGTGGTGGTCCAAGAGGTGGTGGTCCTGGCATCGGAGGTGCCTGAATCTGAGAGGGAGGAACGGACTGTGGGGGCGCCTGCTGCTGTGAAGCAGCAGCAGACGTGCCATCAGAATGAGAATCTTCTTTATGCTGTTTCTGTGATTGCTTTTCTGCTTCAGAATCATCAGAGTCATCATCATCGTCGTCCTCTGAAAATTCCTCTACTTCCCGTCCCTCTTCAGGGATTTCCTGACCTGCCATTCGCAGCATCATGGCTTGTAGAGGAGTCAGCTCCTTCATGTTCTTCTTTTTCTTCCTTGATTTTCCAGGCATATCTGCAAATCGTACACTCAGACCTGCCTTCTTTTCCTCGGGGTTGTCCCGCTCGTTATCGTCACGGTGCACAAACTCGTCCCCCTCACTCTCTCCATCTGACCGGTCTGTGTCACTGTCCTCAGTACTGTCATCATGCTTGTCCTGATCCATGTCCTCAGGGTAGCCATCATCTTCACTGGTGCTGGAAACGTCATCGTCGTGACCACGCTGTGCAAGATCAGGACTGTACAACATGTCTTCATCTCGCCTCCGAGGAGGAAGATCAAGAGCAAAGCCCACTTTACGGCCGTACATCTGCAAGACTTGGGGAGGTGGTGGACCAGGTGGAGGACCTGGAGGTTTCCTGCCAGGGGGCAGGCGTGGAACACCATGTCCAAGAAGAGGAAGGATAGAAACTGCTCGAGTTGGAGGTCCATACGCTGAGGTCTTCTTAAGGATGGAGGGCGGCTGGGCACCAGGAAGTGGAATGTCCTGGATTAAGATGTTGGAAGGAGCGTGCGGCATATCCGGCAAAGGAATACTCTCTACTTCTACGTGCTGAGCATTCTTGACAGCATCAAAATATTGGCTAAGTTGAGCCCTTTTCTGCTCATATTCTACTTCTAGCTTTCGCAATTCTTTGTAAATATCTGGATTCTCTTTCTCATAAAGTCGTAGGATACGTTCAAAGGTTTCACGAAGCTTTTTACGTTTATCTTTCAGGACTTTCTCATTTAACTGTGGTTGCTGCACAGGGTTAAACTCCATCTCATCCAATTTCTCCATGTCCCGGATAATTTGTTTGGGATCCTTCATCTTCAACACTGCAGCCCGAACCATCATGCGCTGTTTTTTGTTCTTCTTCAATTCTCTCTTCCGGGCTTCCTTTCGAGCTTGTTCAGTAGGGTTCATAAATTTTCCACTCTTGGTGGATGATGTTGATCTCCGCCCCATTTTGACAATCTATAATGGTTTACTAAGTTTGGTTTTGCAAAAGGATTCACACATCTCCCTGGGTTTGTGTACTGCAGAGGGCACGGTAATGCTTTTGCTGAAAGAAGAGCTCCAAATTGTCAAACCCTAGTGTCTTTGTGAAGCTTGGGTTTGCAAGAAACTAGATTGAATTAATCAGGGTCAGACAGCAGTTGGAGTAAATCAACGGGGAAGACCAAGAGTGGCAGGGGGAAGCCATTGAGGTGCATACACTTGGGAAATAAGAAAACAGATCTTTCAGCTAAGCCCACTAAACAGTTTTCTGGATGTATCACTCAGAATGATTGGATAGTGAATTAGCATGTCTGCATTTGTATTTTCCCCTGAATGACTGTTGCACAATAAACTAATCTGAATGCTATTGAGGAGAGTTCTATATGGCTTATTTTCTTCTCAACTGAAAGCTCTCAAGCCCAAGACAAGATATTTCAGTTTTGTGACTTCATTGTGTGAGTTGTCACAAAATGAGTTGGGGAAGAAATATTGCTCTTTAAAAGTTAGTGAACCGTGGGGATTTTACGTGGAATTGTAAAGAGTTCAAGCTAGTCTAGGAAAGAAATGGCAGATGGAGAACTTGAAGAAGGTTCCGGCAAAGTTTGAAAGACATAAGCATTGATCTCAAAGGACTCTCCTTTCAGAGATGCACAGCCTAAGCCTTAGTGACTTCAATAGACAGTCAAGAAAATATCCGTGTTATTACTCTGCGCTTTTTGCTGAATACAGTTTCCACATCCATTCTCAAGACAAGTTTATAGCCAGCTCCACACAGCATATAAATAGCTGTGAAAAGACCCCAAATAGTTAAATTTGACCAAACAAGTGGTTACTTTGAAAACCCCTCATTAGCATCCTGTTACCAAGCAGAGCACTGACTGAATTAAGTTGCTTGTTTTCAAACACCTGTTTGAAAATATAACATATGCAGACTTGCTGCAATCGAAGTTTTCACTCTTTAGACAGAAAAGCGTAGACACCTTTAAAAAGCAGTCATTTCCAAAGTATTTTATGTCTTCTGTGTATCTTGTACCTATTTTGCAACCATAGCAAGATTAAATGTGATCTCTATAAATGTCTGCATGCTATCTGACCTTTCAACATGGTTCACGGCTTCATTTTGTGTTTTTATTCTTTATTGTCTATTGACCTCCTGGGTTCCCACATCAACTCTTCCTAATCAAAATCAAATTCATCTGTGAGTTCCAGTTTATCTGCCTTATTCTGAAATGGTCATTTATTCCCTTACAGTTCTGTTTGAGGTTTCTCTCCCTTTCTACTCTAGAAGACCTTTCTGGGTAACCTCATCATCCATCATCTGAAATGTTCCACTGTATGTGTGCTGACCACCATTATAGCTACTAATGATGTGTGGATATTTAAATTTAAATTAATATAACATAAAAACTCATTCAGTCACACTAGCTGTATTTCAAGTACCCACGAGTCTCATGTGGCCAGTAGCTATTCTATCTGTGAAAACAAATATAGAACTTTTTTATCACCACAGCAAGTTCTATTAGAAAATTCTACTTTTATGCAAATGGCCTTCAGATAGAGCTCTAGGCCAGACACCTCTCTTGAGCCTTAGACCATAATAGCCTATTCAACGTCTCTATCTGGATATTCCATAGGCCTCACAGACAAATTGTTTCCACCAAATTCTTCCTTTCCTGGAAGGTAAACAGGGGCCTGGTATGCTGAGATAAGGAATCTCATCTTTATTCTTTATGATGTGGAGAGCCATCCAGAATTTTGACTGTACCTTATAGGTTTATTTTAAGATTGGTAATTCTTTAAAACAAAGAAGACTTCTAGTTGTACTTAACAATTTCTAAGTTGAGTCATCTCTTACCATGACCTTGTGATGGGTACCATTCTTTCCTGCTACCTCTGCCCCCAAATTAATTTCACATACCGAATGCAAAACGAGGCTAACAAAGAAATCTTTGTGATAGAAATTCCACAGATTGCTTAATTGACACTTCCGGATCTTCCATTTATTTGGATTTCTAAATCAACAGAATGAGACTACAAATTAATTCATTAGTGCAAACAATAGAAAATGAGGTCAGGATTATTAAGAGAAGAATAGACAAGGAGATGAATTGATCCACAGTCAGATACACAGGTTGATCCTTGAAACTCAGTTAAAGTAGGTCAACTTTTATTCTCTCTCTTAATTACATGCCCACAAGCTTTCTTCTGTCAGATCTGGAAATCTTGGGGCTTATTTTTATACAGTGTAATTATGTTTCCATATCTGATCGCATCCAATTTTGAAATGAAATAAACACTAGGAACCAGTCACATTAGCAAGTGGAGCCACCAAATTGCATTCATTAAGGCATTGTTCAATTATGGACTGCAATCCTCCAGTGACCCCAGGAAAGCAAAAACTTAGTTTACAAATGAGGATGTGTGGTACTCAATAAATATATGTACTATTTTAGAAAGAATGCATTATTTCGGCTCCTATCAAAGAGAATCTAGATCTGGAAAGGACTTGAATAAAGAATAATTACACTTCGATGAAAAGAAGCTGAATTCACCTTGATCCAAATCAGGTTAGTAATTAGTAATTATCCACCCTAATGCGGTATAATGAACCTTTGGATTTATAATTATAAACCTTCAGGAGAGTCTCAGTGTTATTTAAAGTAACAGGAAGGTAGCATACAATGTTTCCCACTTTATTCTCCACAACATACAGTAAAGTTCTAAACTCAAATTATTAGTGTTCTTCTGTTATCATCACTTTTCATGCTTTTTTGAAAAAAAAATCCCTCCTCTCTAACCAAATATGCAGCTTTCATTGTCACTCTTAGCTTGTGTCCCTCCTTCCACGGCTTTGAAATGAACTACCTTTTATTGGGCCAGCAGAATGTCTGCTGCCTTCCAAAGTCTTCTTTCCAAGTATCTTTAGAAGGCTTTTTCTTGCCAAGTATAAACAAGGAGGGATGACTTCAGCTCAATAACTCAAATGGTCAGAGAGATCACTGCTCCCCTTGCTTGTCCTGTGTGTGATTATACACTACATGGGGCATCTTTACTGTTTTATTGGATCATCTTGTCACTGGACAAGGGCCAATGAGGTTCCTCAGTATGGAGGTGGGGATCCTCAACTTATTTTGCACATTGGACAGGGTCACTGACTTACATCACTGAAATATAATTTCCAAGACATGTCAATAAAGGGCGTAAAGAGATTTATGAGGGAGAATTTAAATGTATGCACTCAGAGAGATTACAGTGGGGGCTTTCAAGAGACAAAGGCACATTATAGCTTAGATCTGGGTACATTTACATGGTCTTGAGGTGCATTTAAGATTCTAGGTTGTGTTTTCCATTGTCTGCAAGGTCACCCATGAGGAGAGCTATAGTAGGCTGCGAATCATTTACACATATTTGAATCCAAGATATGTTGCCTACTTACTAGTAGGTTTTATTGAGGATAGGGTTAGGAGGCAGCCAATTTTACATTAAAATCATAGGCCTAGAACCCCATTTGCAGAAACTTTTCCCCGTAAAATGCTTAGAAATTTGTTGTTAAAGTTAATTTCTTATAAGAAAAAAAATAAGATTAGATAATGTTTGCGTCCTGAAGCTTCAATTTTCCTTAAAAGTGAAGTTTTGAAATTATGATTAGCTTGCCGTTTTTGGCCTGTCTTTATTTCTTCTATCCTACACGGGTAAAATTGCTTAGTGCAGTTTACATAGTAAAAATGTTGTGCACACATAAACAGAGAGACAGAGGAGAGAGTGTAAGTGAATGCATATACACAACAGAGAAATGAGACAATATTTTACTGAAGAGACATGGATTATCACATGAAAGTATTGAGCCAAATGTTTCTCCTTGTGAACCTCAGTTTCCTGACCCATAATAGTATATATATCATAGGGTTTTTGTGAATTAAATAAGATAAAACTCTGATATATTGTTATAGTGCCTGCCAGTTAGCAATAAAAACAATTGCTCAGTTGTTAAGTAGCTGTATAGACATATCAGGCATATTAACACACATAAATAGGTAAGCCTATAATACTATACATATTGGGTAGATATGAAATATGGCATACTTGAATGAATTTCTGGTTTACAATCAGAAAATCATCATTTGAGCTTTGATTCTTATAGTTACTATCTGGGTGAGCTTGAGTAAGTCACTTAACCTATGGAACTGGAATTTCTGTGTACTATAGAAGTCCTGTTATGCACTCTGCACATTTACTGTGCTAGCACATAGTCCTACAAAGAAGCTGTTTTGTGTAAAGTTCTTTACACATGTGTACAATTTAAGATACAATTCTGTTCATGTCCTTTGCATTTGAGGAAGCATTCCAGAGGAGGCAGGCCTTCTTTATGTATGTGTGGTGAGAACATTCTGTTTTTCAAATGGCCTTTTGAGTTGCATGAGGAACTTAGGCCAGACTTACTCTTGGAGTTTCTGGTCCTGTGTGCACTGAGCTTCTACATTCTGATTCTTGAAGGATAACTACCAGAGGTACAGGCTGGGTCTGGGCATATCTCACCCTGATGTAGGAGAAAGATCCATCTGGAAACTGGATCTTTTTCCAGTGGAGATGAAAAAGTAGTGTGCAGATTTCTTCATCAATTTCCTAGCCAACTGAGCCAAACAAACCAATTAGCAGAGATGACACGTACAAGATTGAAATCGTGTCATGTCATCACCATTTAGAACAAAATCCTGGCACATAGTAAATATTGGCCAAAGAATTCCAGGCAATCTCAAGGTTTCTGACCTCACTAAATCAAATGACTTAGAGTCAGTTGACTTTCCATTCAGTCAGTACACACAGCATAAAATGGAGACTTTGTGCCTCATTTCTGGGAAAAACGACTTGTCTCTCACTTACCTTTGTTCCTTCTTAGCGACAGGCTTTCTTTCTATTCTCTTGTGACTTATTTTCACTCTCCAGTGAAATCAATGGGAAACATCTTCTAGACTTTTCTTTCCCTGCCAG